CTAGGCAATCAGCAGATACGACATGACCAGTCTGATCACATCAATTTCAATCTGGACCGCTATGAACTGTCAGCCTAATAATGCAAAAGCATTTTCTTCGATTCCTCCCCCTCTTGGGATGTAGGACACCTTTACATAATGCAGTGAAACCACTACTCAACCTGATGGTAATGTGAAACAACAGTCTTTTCAACAGTCTGTCAAAGTGCTAGTGGGATTAATGTATTGCTTTAAAAGAAATTCCACTCAGTTTGATGAGGGCATGGAATGCTCACTCCCCCCACAATCTTGTCTTGTTGTAAACATGGGCCATTTGGGCTTTCTGCATCTATGTGGTTGCATCAAGGTGATTGCCAGTTAAAGCTGCTTAAAGTCAAGAGTCAATGTCAAAGTTAATCCATACGGTGTCATTCAAATTCATGTTAGATAGCATAGGGAGACCTCTTTATGGAAGAATTCAATGCCTCCGCAGCATCCTGCTATAGAGCAGGAATGGCCAAGTCCAGACCAGCAGAGTTTATCTCTCCCCTGAAACATTTATATCTGGCTCCTGGTGGTCCTAATCCAAGTCTGGTCAAATGTTTGCCTGTAACTTTGCTCATCAGTGAAAGAAAAACGTGTTTTCCATCTGTAAGTAGGGATGCTTGAGGATACGTTCTGTCCACATTTTTAGTGAGCTGACCTGATTTTTATTTTCTGGCTGAATACACAAATCTGACTCAGTATCCTTAGCTCAAATAAACAAAAAAAAACTGCTTTGTGACAGCATGTATAATATTTATTTATTTGATCAGTCATATGACCATTTCAAAATAGAACATGAGTAAAAAACAAGGCAAAAAGGTGAGGACAGCAGCTGACCTTCTATTTATAGTCAGAATCTTATTTTCCTGGTTCTTCTTTCAGGAAATCTGCTCTTTTCTTAATAGCTTTCAGAATAAAAAGGCTTACTCTGATTATGTTGGATCTTTCCTGACCTTGCAAGAGGGATGTCAGAATATCATTTCTGTTGGGGGACCTGCAGTTGGATAATATTGGATGTAAATATCTGTCTCGCAGTTCAGTGTATGCTGGACAGTCAATTAAGAAATGTTCAATGTCTTCCACTGTTTGTTCTCCCCAGACGCAGAATCTTTCACTTCTTGGGATGTTACAGTAACGCCCGGTTTACACCATAGTACCGAGTTGTTCAAACCTAGCCCTAGTATATATTCTTCTTAAGGGTAGAGGAAGTGGAATAGTTAGGTAGTGCTCTAAATAAATATTCCTTTTGTGGGAAGCTAAAAACCTTGTGGCTGAAGACCTACCTATGCTCTCTAGGTCCAGCTGTGCATAGACATCCCTAATGCGCCGCTTGAGCACTTGCCCTGCCCCCGGACCCAGAACACCCAGAAATTGCAAAGGCAGACCAAATCCAGCCAGCTCATTATTTAGAGCCGCCATCCATGATGACTTCTGGTCATGCTGGACTTGATCCTCTAGACATAGGTGAGGAAGTCTACTGGGATCCATAGAGTTTACTTTTGACCAGTAATTAAACTGTCTCATTAGAATTTGAGCTTTTACTGGGAGTATACAAAATGCATACATGAGATGAAATTAAAATATGCATTTCATACATATTACATATGCAAATATTTTAGTGTTTTTTTAGTAAACAGATTGATATAGAAATGGGATGAAACTGACTGATACATTAATGCAAGAAAAACTGACATATACTGAATCTGTGAATCACATAGTTGTTAAGAAGGTACATAGTTCATGCTTCAGTGTCTCATTACCATCTGGATTTTGTAGGGAATGCATGATCACAATCACAGAAATTCACCTTATGCAAGGTGATATTAAGGCTGTTTGGTGTGGAAAAATATATTCCAGCCACTGTTATTAAGAGTTGTAACTATCTCCAAAAGAAAAGAAACAGCACTTCCCTGCTAGATTGGAATTTTTTTTCCGGTGGAAAGTTAGTTCAAGTGCAGAGAATGACTACTGCATACAAGAATTCCCAAAATTCATTCTTAACATGTCCAGTAGATATGATCAAATAACAGAAAAGCCATCAACTAAAATTCATATGCTCATTATTATCGTAGATTAGGGCTGGGAAAAGTAGAATCTGTAAATATTTTGTGAATTGACTCTGGTCACAGAATCATTTTTTTCTTTTTTTCTTTTAAATGTCCCAAATGTCCCCAAATGTCCCAAAATGCCCTCTGAGAGCATAGAGGCAATTTTGTCCAAACCATTCTAGGGCCCACAAAGGCCTTTGATTTTCAGTTACTTCTTGTAAAAAATGCCTATCATGGGCTGAAAATGGGAAACCAAAACATAGCAAAATTGCCCCCAACACACCCTAGAGGATGTTTGGGACTATATGTAACAAAAATAAATCATTTGCCAGCAGTTTGAGCCAGGGCACATTTCATACTTTTTGTTCTGGTATTTGATGATGATGATGATGATAATAATAATAATAATAATAATAATAATAATAATAATAATTTTATTTCTTACCCACCTCTTCTTATTGCTCAAAGCAGGTTACAACATTGCTAAAGCATACAATCATCTAAAAAATTCTATAAAATACACATATTAAAATATATTTCTACAAAATACATATTAAAATATACAGAACAAAGATTAAACATAAGACAAAAGTTTTAAATTTGTGATTAAAACTGGCTGTGTAGGCCTGCCAAAAGAGATAGGACTTCAAATGCTTGTTAAATTCTGAAAGCTCATTTAACTCTCAGAGTTCTTCTAGCAGGTCATTCCACAGTCTTGTGGTGGCTAATGAAGAGGTCCTCTGGGTGATGGTTGCTAGTTGGGTTCTGGCAGGATGGAGTAACCCCCCCCCCCCATGACCTAAGCATTCAGGGTGGAATGTACAGGAGAAAGTGATCCTGTAGGTAACCTGGACCTAAACCATGTAGGGGTTGAAAAGTCAAAACCAACACTTTGTACTTTGCCCTGGAAACTAAGTGGCAGCCAGTGGAGTCACTTTATTGTTGTTTATTCATTCAGTTGCTTCCGACTCTTCAGGACCTCATGGACCAGCCCACGCCAGAGCTCCCTATCGGCCGTAGCCACCCCCAGTTCCTTCAAAGTCACTTTAGGATTGGTGTGATATATTCACTCCTGGATGTTCCTGTAACCAACCTGGCTGCTGTACTTTGAACCAACTGGAGTTTCCAACATTGGTACAAAGGTAGCCCAATGTAAAGTGCATTGCATAAGTCCAACCTTGAGGTTACCAGTATGTGCACTACCATCTTTGGGCCCTCCAAATCTAGGAAGGGGCACAGCTGACATATCAGTCGAAGGTGATAATAAGCACTCCTGACCAACACATCTGGATGGGTTGACATTTGGAAAAAATAGATCCAGGAGTACTCACAAGCTGTGAACACAGTATTTCAGGGGAAGTGTAACCCCATCCAGGACTGGTTGACATATCTCCACCCCCAGATTAGGACCCTTGATAGCAAGGACCTCTGTTTTGTCTGGATTCAGTTTTAATTTGTTTTTCCTAATCTGTCCCATTTCCTCCTCCAGGCATAAATTCAGAGGAAACATGCTATTCTTAGCTGAGGTTGTTTTTTGAAGGTATGGACAAATATATTTGCGTTTCATCAGCATACTGAAACCCCCCCTCCCCATGCTTCCAGATTATCTCTCCCAGTGGTTTCATGTAAATATTAAAAGCATTGGGGGTAGAATGGCACCTTGTGGGATGCCATATAACAGCTCCATTTTTGAAGAGCAACTATCCCCCAAGCACCACAATTTGTAACCTGCCTGACAGGTATGACTAGAACCACTGCAGCACAGTGCTTCCAATTTCCAAACCCCCACCCCACCCCCAGGCACCCCAAAAGGATACCATGGTCAATGGTACCAAAAGCCATTGAGAATCTAGAAGTGCCAACAGAGACACACACCGCTTGTCACTGTTAAGATGGAGATCATCCACTAAGGCGACCATAGCAGTCTCAATTTCATATCCTGCTTTGAAGCCAGTTTGAAATGGGTCAAGGAAGTGTGTGTGATCCAAGACTGCCTGAAGTTGGAAAGCAACTGCCTTCTCAAATCACCTTGCTAAAAAAGGAAGGTTGGAGACTGGTCTGTAAAGATTAAGATTGTTGTTGTTGTTCATTCATTCAGTCGTCTCCAACTCTTCGTGATTAAGGTTGAGGGAGGGCTTTTTCAGCAGGGGTCTAAGTACTGCTTCTCTTAAACAGGATGGAAAAGATGCATTAGTAATTTGTTGTATTTGAGAATGAATTACATCTCCTTTCTGGATGAGCAGCCAAGACAGTCAGGGATCAAGAAAGCAGGTTGTCTTCCTTACTTGCCCCATCGAGTTTTCCGCCATTTGCACTCTAGTCATTGTCCTTCCTGTTTCATTTCCCTGAAGGTCTCTGCCACAGTATTTGACAGCTTGGCTAGCATGGTATGCACCATTCAGGGATTTATGACCCACAGGAAAAGACTTATTGTCTATTCCAGCAATCTGCACAACTTTATCAAGGTTGTGAGCCTTTAAAGACCTGGCTCAGCATCTGCAGAACATTTTTCCCTTGGACCTCTGTCTGGAGGAAAATCTCACCCATTTTAATAAGGGGTGGAAGACCTTGCTCTTTGATTCATCAGATGAAATTGCTTAGTTGTACCAGAGGTTGCTGAGATAGGTAGTAACTAGTGAGATGTATGATATAATGAAAGAGTTTTATAAATCAAAACCACCATTGCAAATTGCATATTGAAGACAAAGAAGAGGCATAACTGGAAGCAAATGAAGCCCTGGCATGGTATGCCCATTTTTAGCATAAAGATATTCTGCACACATAAGGCAGTGTCCAGATCAAGGACATCCTAGCTTAAACTAGAGATGTTCGTGTATCTTGAGTTATATTTTCTGGGAAAGTTGGGATATAAACTAAATCAAATAAATAAATAAGAATGAGGTGAAAATGTGCACTATTGTCACATACCTCATAGAGATCTATCATTATATTGCCCTCCAGGTCTCGGCTGCTCTTGACATTTTCCAAGGCTAGGGTAAAGTAGACCCCTCGGGTGTCAGAGATGTAAAGGTTGTATGTATCATTCTGGTTCCATTCCTGAACTGCAGCAAATACTTGATTCTCATCCGTGCTGATAACGTGCATGTCCTGGAAGAGAAAGCACAGGGAGCCATCACTGATGGGCATCTCACTTGTTTCTGCTCCAAGGGCAAGACAGGGTAATCCTCTTGGAGCAAGGCAGTATGTCATTATGGAGTCTAATCAGAAAGCAAACCCAATCTACTTTGCGTGTGCACATGCATATTTTAGAGAGTCTCTCTTCAGCAAATATATGCAGAGCAATAATGAGTTGAGGACACATTAAGTGAACATTTACACTGGTGATAGTATTGTACAGTAGCAATAGAAGATGAGTACATTTGTTATAGGAAATGTAGAATATTAATTCCTTTTTGTCCTTCAAGAGTGTGAGAAAATTTTACAATTAGGAATCACTAGCAATGAGTTAGAAAGGAAATGAATGGGGACGGAACACCCAAGAACACAGGCAAATGAACACACCAAGTCTTTAGTTCTATAAGTATCATACTATAAAGTTTCTAACTGAAACTTGGGGTGCAGGAAACCTGTAGAATTACAGGTAGTTTGACACCACTTTAATTGGCATGACTCAGTGATATGAAATTCTGTGAGTTCAGTCTTTAACCTTCTCTGTCAAAGTGAGCCTCACCAAACAACAAATACAATGATTCTATAATTTTGATGAATGACACTTAAAGTGATGCAGAACTAGAATAATTCAACAGTCTAGATGCATCCTTACACATAGAGAGAAAGGCAATATGTTGGACTGAAAGGTCAGGTAGCTATAACATCTCCACATCCTGCTTTATTAGGAAGATTGTGAGGTTTCCTTAATGTTTTGTGTTTGTTTGCTTTCTTTAACATTGTTTTCTATTGAAATAAAATTGCCAGTCTGAACAACATTTATTTTTCATTATTTGCTACATTGCTGGTTGTCAAGATTCCTGGGTGCAAAGCCTTTAATGCTCTTGTTCTGTGGTGCAACCCCCCCCCCCCCAGTTCTTCCAGAACATAAACCTGCAATCTCCACCTCTAATTAACTGATATCTACATTTCTGTATAGGTGTCCTTAGCTCATCTTCCTAGCAGATTTCTAATTATGTAGTACAGTACAATCTGCAGCTAAAGAACTGGAAAATAAATTATTACTAACAATAAAGAATTCAAGTCTTTCCACAGAGCAATGAAAGTGAAAATAACTTGACCTGAATAATAGAAACCCACAAGTTTGTTTAACTACATTTAGTAATATCTAAAGGCCCTGTTAGTAATGTTGTTCCCTATAATGGATAGGATAAGGAAGGCTGCATGACAGATGTTTTACAACATCTCATTCCAAATCCTGTGTCTTATGCTCCAGTCAGCAAGTGACCCAGGCCTCAGGTAGTTGGAGTGCAAGGACTATTGGGTGTTTAACCTTGTTGAGATAAGCCATAGGGCCTTTCCAGATAGGACCTATATCCCAGGTTCTTATCCCAGGTTTTCTGTTTATCCCAGATTATCTGGCAGTGGGGACTTATATAATCCAGTTTAATGCAGAAAACATGGGATCGTATCCTAGATATAGGGCCTGTCTGGAAGGACCCATAGACTATCCATCAAGATGTAGGAAGGAACAAGAGGGTGGTCAACATCAGCTGGTCCAGAAGTTGTTACAGCAAGTCACTAGTCCAAATAAACCTAGCCAACAAGGAGTCATCGCCAATCCAAGGTCAGGAAAATGAATGCTGAAGAATACTGCAACTCACCAAGATAGAACAATTAGAAACCACAAAAATTCCAGGAGTCTGATGGGAAATTTATAGGCAGTTGTCTCAAGACACCAGCTTCTTAATAAGTCAACATCTCCTGAATTACAGATGCTGTGACCGGTGTAGTGTCTCCTTATTTATTCAATTATTTTCAAACAATTGCAGTTCATCCTTAGGGTCTTCCACCTCCTGCTGTAGTCTGGCCACCTTCAATCATATCGGCCCCCAACATCTTGGGCTCAGAGAAGCCATCACCACCAGGCATGTACATTCATAGAAATCTGACTCATCTGTATCTGAATCTTTTGACTTAAGAAGGTGAGTTAAAATCATAGAAGGGTCCACATGGGCCAACTAGTCCAAACCCCTGCTATACAGGAAAAGTACAATCAAAACACTCCTGACAGACACCTATTCAACTTCTGTTTAAAAGCATAATGACAAATCTGGTGACTGTCATGGGGGGGGGCATGGAGAACCTGTCACCACATGCTCTGCATCTCCTGGCTAGACGGGAAGCTGATCTGACGAGGGGAAGTGTCAAAGTGTGGCTTCCCCCATTGATTCCTGCTCAACACAGAAAGCCTTCCATGTTGCCACAGTCACTCTAGATAACCCACAGAGCCCCACGGGATGTTTCTCTGCATCGTCAGATGGGAGCCGATGGGCTCCGTGGATCATCTAGGGCTAAATTAGTGTATGCTACCAAACAAAGTCCCATTTCAGTGGGTTTCCAAGGTCAAGCAGGGATTTGAATCCTCATCTCCAACATCCTAGACTAACACTCAAACCACTACACCATACTGACTCTACCCTAAAGGCATCAGATCCTGTTTGATCATGGAAGCTAAGCAGGATCAGCTCAGGTTAGTACTTGTATGGGAGATCACCAATGAATACCATATGTTGTGTGCCATATTTCAGACAAAGGAACCAGAAAACTGCTTCTGACTATTCCTTACTTAGAAAAATTCTGTGAAATTCACTGAGTCTATACTTGACTTGCAGGCATCCACTCACACTTTTAGACTACAGATATTGGTGCTGGTGTAGTAGATTTTGGAAACTGTATTCTAAATAGTATTTTTCCTAAGCGTTGTTTTGAAAATGTGAGAGGATTTTTGTCATATATAGCCACTGCTTAAACTCAGACAAGCTTCTTCATTTACAGGAGAGAGAATACAGGGGTCATAGCTTCTAAGCAGCTCGAAACCACAGAATCTAGGGTTAGACTACTGGACTTTTGCCCCAGTTGTTTCCTTTTTATTAACAGTTTCTGATTGAGACTCATATTTTGATTGAACTAATATTCCTGTTTGTCTCAAAAACAACCAGTCTGTCAATTTCAAAATAGCTATCCACTTACATAAAGATTCAAGGTTATTATGAAAAAGGAAGGAGGAGATGACCTCTTGGTCTATGGAAAACTAGGGTGGATTTCTTCCCCATTTGGTGTGTATTTCAACCTTGAGAAGACGGAATGGTGTCTGTTCTTGGGCACTGTGAGTTAACATTGATTTTCTGCTACATTCCTTTATTCTTTACTCCTTATATATATTACCAGGCTGAGGAATTGTCAGCAAACTTGTCATGTGCAAAAAATACCACTCAGATGCACTACATAATATGGCCCTTATTCTTTCTGTCAGATTCAGTAATTCACCTGTTATTTCTGCTGGGTAAATCATACCATGAAACAATCTTCTCACTGACACAGAGAAGCTAAATACAGAGAGAGATGGGGAGGGAAGCTCTATCACCATCATCCTTTCTCTTCCAAGATAAATAAACACACCTCTTGTCTTTTGAAAGAAATGAAGAGAAAGTTCTCTTCCAATTAGCAAATACCCTTCTGACACTGGCTGTGACACCTTTTCTATATGCCTGCTTACAAAACCACTGCAGCACCAGCCTTCACAATTCCCCATTATACAGCTCTGCAGGATAGTCAACATTAAGATGCCATTCATCTGCCTGGCCTTTATGCCTTTCCATAGAGAGAGGGGGAAAAAACAACCGAATGGGAAGGGATGTGATGGGGTGGCTGCAGAGGCGAAAGGCCAGTGCTTTCTAACTCACCAACATGCTATGAATGCCCTTATCTCAGTTAATCTGGGAAATTTCCAACTTAGTAGTAGAAATGTAATATCTCATATATGATTGTAACCCTTTGCAAGTGTCTATTTTAATTTTCAACACATGGGCTTTTCCTTCATCCCATTGATGCCAGGGTGTTTTGCCCTCACAACTCACTGGTGAAAAGTGACTAATTTTCTGAATATAAGAATCCATAAGAATTCAGAACCATTTCTACAGTTATAAGAATCAGAAATACAAATGATTTCAGCAGAACACTGCATAGAATAGAGGCTAGAAAAGCAATGCTACCCATTTGAATGAATGGAAGAGAAGAATTGACATGAAATGTTGTGTGCCAGTGCTCCATAGACTTAATTATATTTATTGGGAGCTGGGTGACCATGTAAACAATGTATAACTCTTTTTCTCTTAAAAATGTGTAAATGAACACAGTCTAAATGATCATGGTCAACATGTCCTGAAGGTATTAGATTTCAAGTGATCTTGAGAGTTAAGCAGTGTCACCTCTTGTTAGTACTTGGATCGAAGATCACCAATGACTACCAGGTACCCTAGCCTATATTGCAGAGAAGGAGCAGGCAATACTACCTCTGAGTATTCCTTACCTAGGAAAAATCTATGAAATGTATAGGGTTACCATATCTGGTGTCTTGAAGGCACATACACACACACACAAATGAAAGAAACTATTTTTCATACAATCTTTAAGTGAGCGTTTAAATCTTGAAATTCTCACCGTAAACCCCTCAAAGGTAGAAATCCAGTGATCAAGCTACTTTGTCTCTCTACCAAAATTCCACCCCTCAATTCCACAACTTGTTATGGCCTCTAAGAACTCTTTACACCATTGATTTTATTTGGGCAAAGTAATTGAGCTGAAAGAGATTAAAGACTCTCTAGTCATAAAGGGCCTTGCTTGTTTCATTTCCTTTTGACTGTGCTGTGCTTTGTTCATTTTTAATAAAGGCAGCCACCTGCTTTGATAACAGCATCCTCAACACGCCTTTTCCACTGTAGCTCTGTGCATACAGATTTAGCTGCTCATCCTTTGAAGATGTTGTGAAATTGTAATGAAGCACCTTGTTGCCTTAAATATCACCCTGTAGGTGAATTCAGCAACATCTGTTTCTTGTGCTGGGTGACAGAGAGGGACTCTTGGGTCTTGTTAAGGAAAGTGGCATGCTACATCAGATGAAGTTGCTTCGGAAATATTTAATATGTGGTTTTTTTCTAACCAGGAATTAAGTCAGCTAATATTTTACTCAACAATTGGGAAGAAATCCCGGGGCTGTCAAGAAGCTGCCTCAGGGAGATAAGGAAACTATGATAGCATGGTCTTATCATATGGGAAATAAGTTGTTTACTGCTTCGTTCTTTTTTGCACATCCCTTGCACATTTTGCTGGCTGGTATCTAAAATCCAAGATAGAGTTGAACTAGTTTGAGAAAAGAGCTAGAAATGACACCTCTAAAGTTGTCTTAGTCCATAAATCCTGCATAACAGAGTCAAGCTTTGTGATAGGGCTGTAAGTCCTGAAGAGCTTAAAGTTATTCAGAATTAGTGATGAGTGCATAGAAAACACCTTCTTCCATTTGTTTACTCCTTGTAGTAAAGCTGCAAAACAACTCTGACATTTCTAACTATATATATTGAAAAAGCATACTCTTGCCAGTTGAGATAAAGTAGTCAATACCACAAATGATTCTTTATATCATTTCTGGATGTTTTCTTCATGGCTACGACATGCCACAATGTAATCCTCCTGTGACTTCAACTAAGTGCAACTAATGCTCTCAAAGAGCAAGCCTACATGCTCAGTTTCATGTCGACTTGGGGCAAGAGAAGATATGAAAGGAACTGGAACAAGTCTCAGTGGATCAGGTAAGTAACAGTGGTAGAAGAAACAACATATATAATCTCCAAACAGGTTTTCTATTCCAGCATAAGAAAAAGATTACTCCCTTGTCAGTGTGGAGCTGGGGACATGTCCTCAAACCAATGTTGGCATTTGCAGTGGCAAATATATTGTGCACCTCTCTTTTTCTTTAAACCTGACTTCTGTCTTTCATAAATGTGTGGAGTTTGTGGCCAGCATCCTGTTAACATGGTGTCCATCAATCTTGAGATCAATGTTCAAGGGAAGGATTGCAGCAAAACTATGTGTCCTGGAGTAGTGAGTGGTGAGATGTATGGTAGTTTTGCGTACAGGCCTCCTAAATTAGTTTGACAAGTAGGATATTGGCCAGTCTTTCATTTTATTCCTGCCCCTCTACACCTTCCTTTTCAATGCTCTTTCCCCATTGCTTTATCCTTAATAAAAAAACTGTCAGCTCCTTCTAGCATTGGTGCATCTTTTTGCCCACTAGGGTCTGAAGCAAACAACAAAGGTCTATCAAGTCAGTATCTAGAAAAGGCAGAACTCTATTCAAGGGTGAGAGATGAGGGGTGAGGTTTTAAGGTTCTAAAGAACACATATCAAACTTCCTTTGTGGACAGAATACTTTGAATCAGAAATCAATCCTAAAGCCAAGTTAGCCAGAGCTGTGACTGGTTTCTATCAGGTCAGTTTGTTTCACTAGACCAGTGTTTCTCAAACTGTGCTCCTCCATGTGTTTTGGACATCAGCTCCCAGAAATCCCAGACAGTTTAGCAAGTGTTAGGAATTGTGGGAGCTTAAGTCCAAAACATCTGGAGGACCACAGTTTGAGAAACTCTATATTAGATTGATGCTACAGCACAGAAAACATTATTTCCTGTCTCAGGGAACAGATTACATAGACTTTGCTTTCATATGTCAGGATACTGTAGGTGATTTATGCTGGCATAACCACTAGAATTTAACTGAAAAATCCTAGATCTTACAAAATTGATCTTTAGATTCCAGTTGGCTATGCCTTTGCTGTTAACAGAACTTAAGTCAATAAGCAAGTGACCTGACTGAATTTTTCATAGAAATCAGAGAAGATGGGCAGGGCAGACAGAGATTAAACATTTTTTGGAAAATCTGACCATCTGATTGCAAACAACCTTTTCCGAAATGGCTCAAGTGAGCTGCCATTTGGCATTTCTAAGTGACCTTTAGCATGTCCATTACATTAACTGGATGGAAAAGGTTTTGATGATTTTAAATGCCTCTCACAAATAAGCACTTGACTAACAATGATGAGATTTGACAGGATAAATCTTCTCTCAACATTTTCAACCCCTGGGGTTTCACTCTTGTGTCAGTATCATTTGAGGGGGTAATGACATTCTGAAACCATTTGACTGGATTTGGGAATTTCAAATATTAAAGCAAAAGTGTAGATTTTCATAAGGCAGAAGGCTTATTACATTTTAAAACAAATTAAAGAGAAACCATTTATACAGAGGCTCAAATGTTTAACTGCTAATCCTAAACAGGTGGAGTCAAGGATGCTGATATTACCAAGGCCAGATGCCTCAGTATATAATGTCCTGCATTAACTGGCTTCAGGTCATTACATATCTGAATTCAGCAGAACCTTGAATTTGGCAGGCAGTCCCAAAGATAATATTTTAGAATTGTGGTACAATGAAATAAATTGTAGAGGAAAACAGAACTGTTCAACAGAGATTTCTCTGATCCTTTGAATTATTTAAATTAAAAAACTTTGATCAGTACTATGTGAAATATGCTTCTTTCTTCCTAATAATAATAATAATAATAATAATAATAATAATAATATTAATAACTACTACTTTATTTTTGTATCCTGCCACCATCTCCCTGAAGGAACTTGGGCCAGCTTACATTGGAACCAAGCCTAGTTAAACACAATTCAAAACGTGAAACCATAAAACAATAAAATACAATAAAAACATCATAAAACCATAACCATCATAATCAACAATCAGTGGCCGAGCACAGTGGACATATTCAGAACTAAAAGGCAACAACTACATGGACAGGGCTGATAACAGATGCAAGGGCCAGAGGCCTGATATGGCTAGAGGGGCCAGAAAAAATTAGTACAATTCACAAAACGGGGAGATATAATAACGAAGTGCAGAGTCCAGTATTAAGTTGTGGCTGGGGGGTGGAGTGGGGAGGTGGAGTGGGGAGGTGGAGTGGGGTGGGTGGGGTGTATCATCTGGTGAACTGGGTAATCAAAAGCACATTGGAACATCCAAGTGTTTAGGTCTTTATGGTCTATTTATTTATTTATTTATTTATTTACTGCACTTGTAGTAAATTTGTTTTTCCTTACAATGCAGAGATCCAAGGAAAAAACCCAAAACAATAATATCCTTTCAGGCTATGCTCGAATCCTTCATTGTTCTTAATTATGGAAGATTTGAAGCATTAAATTCCATTAATAAAGCGAAATGAGGATTCCATTGGCACTGGGAGATGTGGGGGAGGAGAGAGAAAATTTTAATAATATAAAACCCTAAACATCATCAAAGAGAAAATGCAAGATTAATTACTTTCTGACTAACATAAAAATCAATCAGGTTTTTGAACTGATGTCCTTGGGCATCTGCAATACTGACCTTATTGAGGGTTTCCCCGATTGGTGCTGGAACATTTTCTTGTGTGTATGTCAATTAAGCCGTTCCTGAATCATCTGTTCAGAAACTGTGAGGTTTGATCTGAGTATGATCTGAAAGTAAATGTATATATATTTTTAGACATAATCACTTACCTTTGGCAAGGCATATTTGGGAAACTTCATTTGCGAAAACGCATTTCTCCGATAGGACACGTAGTAATGAGGCCGGCCTCCTGATGTCAGCTACAATATATAACATTGTTTTCTTTTATTATCAAGGTTATTATTATCACAGTTTCATTTTTTTCATGACAAAGGGAAAATAGTAGGCATGCTAGAAAGAAGGATATGCCTATAGCGGCACAAAAAAATGATACTGCAGTTACAGCAGGAGACAAAATAGCCATCATTCAGGTTGTCAGCAATGGAAACTGACAGTATTAAGTGGCCTAAGCTATTCAGATCGTTTGTACAGAAAGACAAAAGGGCACAGGGAAACCTGCAAATACTAATGCCTGGATGTTGCCTTCTGAATCCTGAGCATGCTACAATTGTGATACTTAAGTGAATAGTGTTTGCTTTTTATAGAGAACAATCGGGGCACAAGAGTATAATGATAAAAGCTTCATGTTCTAGTCATTATCAAAACTAACTTTTCTCCCCAAATGCAAGGTCTTATAGTGTTGGCCAGATCTACCAAGACCTAGTAAGTGCTCTAAATTTTACAGAGTGGTCCATTTATTTAACACAGATTTTGTTACAATGTGCCAGAATCAGCAACATTTTCAACACCTGGTAGACATGAAAATATTTCCTGCATTGTGGACAAAAGCTTAGTTCAAACGCACAAGGAAAACCTTTATCCCTCATGTCACAAAGAATAAATCAGATATGAATTTGCATTAAGCTTGGATAAAGTAATACAATAAAAGAATTGGCTGTTGCCAGAGGTTAAGAAACTATAACATCTTAATATTGTTAAATATAAAAACATTGGTTAATTTATTTTCTTTGCCACTTGTTCTATAATTTCCTTACTATAAGTCAGGAAAGACTCATATCTATTTTGGTCTTGATTTTAGGGTTTTAAGACAGTCTTTTTTATTTGATAAGAGGAACTCAGTTAAGATAAATCCAAACATGGGACAAAAGAATCATAATGGGGAAGATCCTCATAGTTTTTGTACTTGTTTGATTAAAAAAAATGCATTTAACTTTTTTTTTGCAAAAAGGGCATTTCATTCAACATACTGTGCACAATAGAGCATGTTTGTACAAAAAAAACCCCAATTTCAACCAAAATGTTCCTAAATACCAAAATTACAGAAAAATAAGTAAAAACTTGTTTTTGTGAAAGATGCTTCAAGGGAAGTCACTCTGACACAATCCCTGAAACTATATTATTTCATTCCTAAAAAATAAAATTAACAGAACCTATGGGTATAGTGTACAGTTCAATGTTTATTTATTTATTTACGACATTCATATGCCGCCCTTCTCACCCTGATGGGGACTCAGAGCAGCTTACAAGATATATATACATATAATATATTATATTATTAGCATAGTACAATATCAATATTAATTATTACTATATTGTATTATACCATTATATTGTAATATTATTAGTAATATTACATGTAATATAAATATATTATTATAATATCATATTATTAGTAGTATTATATTGCATTACATTATAATATTATAAATTATATTATTAACATAGCACAGGAGACAAGGTGAAACTGCCCCCTGCCCCCCCCCCCTTCACTCTGGCCCAGAGCGGCAGTTGGTGCTGAGGGGTGGAGTCCACAGCCGATGACATATATGCAGGAGACAAGATGTACTATATTACAATATGGATGTAATACTGTAGTAGTTGTTGCTCTCTATTTCTGGGCCATTTCAGACTTATAACAACTGTAAGGTAAAACAATCTTAAGGGCTTTCTTGACAAGATTTATTCAGATTTGTTGCCTTTCTTGGAGACTGATAGAGTTTGACTTGTCCATGGCCATCTAAGGAGTTTTCTTGATGAAATGGGGATTCAAACTCTAATCGCTTGAATCATGATTCAACATTCAATCCATAATACCACATTGGTTCATATATAATCATATCCCCACCATATATACATACACACACACACTAAAGATTTGGCCATCAAGGAAAAACAATTGGTACAATAATTTGTTTTTGTTATATTAATTGAATACACATATATCTCCTTTATTCTTTTTCCAATTCAGAGATGAACTTTGCCACCTTGTATATCTTTCATATCATCAAGGTGGCAAGAAGGTGGCACCATATAGGAAGCTGTCCTAGTTGTGTCAGGATATTTGGTCCTTATAGCATTGCCTTTTTTTATTAAGGTCCTGTCATGGGCCTACAGGAAGATTAATCTCTTGATGTTGGCAAGAAAAGGCATAGGGACTGCAACTGCATTAATATGCTTGATGTGTTTGTCAACACTTAAGGTGGCTCACAAAAGTTCTAGATGGTTGAATTTTAAGACATTTCCTATACACATTTATAAGTCTAGAAATTTTAGTCAAAATTGACCCAATAAATCTGGACCAAAATATCCATGGGTCAATGTTTTTTAGCTGAACTCTTATCAAAAAGGCAATTATTCCCTTTTCTGAATAGAATGGTGAAAGGCAAGAAAACAGAAAAAAGCACTCCCTCTACTCTCTCCACTGTGACACCACTTCTGAGCTTTTTGAATGCATGCACAGGAAAATAGCAATGGTGACTAAGGACAACCACCCTGAAGCGACACTGGTGCTTTTCCTTCTTTGTGGCATGGCCATCAACTTATCCATGGGTCATATCAAATATATAATTTTATCCTTTGGCATTATATATGTAGTTTATGTATACACACATACACACATACATATGGTAGCTGTGTCAGTCTGGATTATCAATATGCAAAGGGATCTTGGAGAACTTTTGAAACTAAACAAAAGAAAGATGGTAGCATAACCTTTCATAGACTTAAGTCTACTTCCTTGAGTGCAAGTAGATGCAAGATGTATCTGAGGAAGTAGGCATAAGTCTAGAAAAGCTTATGCTACCAACTTCTTGATCTCAGTCTCAAAAATTACTACAGGATCCCTTTGCATTTTAGGTGGTCTTGCAGTCTTGCAGTCATTATGGGGTTTGTTTACTGTGCCTGCTTCTTTTTCTTTTATTGGAAGAAGCATGAATATAACAATTTAGTGAAAAATCCAAAAGAGGAGGTATAATCCCAGTTCCAAAACCAGAACTACACATTGCCCAGGCTGGAATGTATTCACTGAAATGAGCCAGAAGCCTCAGAGTCTCATGAAAAAGGTTTGAAGACAGATAATTTACAGCTCATCTCCACTCTGTTTGCACTTTATTTCCTCTTTCTTTTTTACAAAATGGACAGCAGCGGGAGGATAATGAAACCCGAAACTGTTCAGATATATTCTCTGGCTTTCACCTGGAACATAGCTCAGCTGAATATATCTCATCTCCATCCTTTTCGCAATAATCATAGCCCATGCATGACAATCATGCCTGATTACTCCTCTCAAGCACTCCGTTTCCATTTCTCTCCCTCAACCCCTTCTTCCCCCTATTTCAAACTAATAGAAAAAAGCTTGATTGGTCTGTTGAGACTGAGATATCAGATTCTGGCATACAAACTTAAAAACCTGGTGAGATAGGAGGATACTTCTAGAATATAAGATGAGGTGGGCTGATTGGCATGAAATTTTATTTTTGCAGACATCACACACACACACACACACACACACACACACACACATACATGAGGCAACCCCCCCCCCCATGACCCCTATGTTGATAAGGTACTTGAGATAGAGGCAGAAGGAAATAATTAGCTTCCCAATGGGCGCAATGCTTGGTTTTGTGGCACTGAAATGTAGCACTCATTCAAGCAGTTTTGTTGCAGGTATGGGGGAAGGGAAATTAAAATTCAGGAAAAGAAGACAAATGATTTGCAATCAATCAGTGAAAAAGCTGTTTCAGACCTGAACAAACACATAATCATCCTGGACAATGAGGGAGTCAGAGTCAATGTATCCTGGGAAAGGTTTACTTCTTACAGCTTCAGAGCAGTTCTGCATCCTGCAGGTGATGTACTGTGCATCTGAAATCACATATACACAAACATACACAACATGTTTAAAATGTTTCGCTCTTAGTGCCTTTAATTAAAACACAAATTTACATGTAGGCAACACATTAATTACCCTAATGGGGATTAGACAATGTAAAAATGAAAAGAGAAGTAAGAGACTTCCTCCCCAGTTCTGTACCATCACGAGGAGTGTGTGGACTGTACTGGGTGACACCATTAGAATGGGTGACACTAAAATGATGCCTATAAAAAATTGTGCATATCCTTGTAGTTAGATATGAGGCATGGGCAATCCATGGTTCTAAATAGTTCTAAAGTACTTACAAAACTAAACTTCTGGTGGTGAAAACTAGGGGGTGCTGGTGCTTTGCTTCTACAGTATTGCTAAAATGAAAATTTGTTGTGAAAATTTCAGAACTCTAACAAAACTTTCAAAGCTTTATTATAAATGTCAGTTTCTAATTGGTTCTGTCATAAAAAAATAACCAATAATGAAGCAATAATGAAATTTTGAAAGTTTTGAAAGCATTCTGAAATGTTCACAACCAAAACTTTAGCAACACTGTAGAAGCAAAGCACCAGCGCCCTCTAGCACCAGCGCCCAAATGTTGGTGCTTGCTTAACTGTGCTACAAAATGCAATTGGTATACTACACATACACATACATAGCTGATTTGAATCCAATGTTTTGAATTCAATGCAGATCAAATTCCTTAATTTTATTTCAGCCTGTTTGCTGCCTATTCTAATCTAGTCCTTTCCCTACATTTTCCTTCAAGTACTAGTAGCTGCTTCAATTAGACAATGATTTCCAGTGACAACAGTGAAGAATATGAATATCTTTAAACCACAAAACACGGATAGTTAGATCATCACAGTGAATTCCTGGAGGCTATGTTTGATGGAAGCAAAGAGAACATTAAGAGGAAAGGAAATGGAAGAGAAATAAGGTTTTAAAAGTTTTTTCTTCACCAGACAATGGGCAACTAATTGTGTAAAGAACATGGCCCATTGCAGCTTTGCTTTTAACTATTAAATGCACAGGCCACTTATAGATGGAATTTCATTGAATTCCATAAAATGTGGGTCCCTTTGTGATTAATAGAAATAACTCATTAGGGTTTCAGTCTGGCTAAATCTTTTTTATGTTGTAAAATGCTGACAGTGACATGGCATGCTTGCACAGAGAAAGGTCCTATTTAACTTAACTTCTAATTTTCCTCTTGCTATTAAATATGTGTTTTGTTTAATATCACAGACAAGCCATTGAGCTATTACTTTACTGGTACCTCTGGTGTACCATAATGACTGAGGAATATACAGATACTTTTCCATTATATAAATGAATACTGAAACTTTGTCTCAGATGCAAGCTTTTATGGTGCCCATGTATCGCCATGCTACCATCTTCTGCAACAGACTGGAAGGATCATGTGCTGATCAATGATGAGAAGAATGCTGGGAGCTGTACAACTGATCAGTCTGTCAGCAGCAAAGCAGCCAGCCAATGGTGGAGAGTGGGGTAATACTGGTATAACAGCTAAGGCTGTAGCTAAGATAGGAAGGGAACTGCCAGAGTATGCTATAATATGCTCAAGTCTGATATAGCTGGTTTGGAAGGCAGTGACAGCAAAAGTATGAAGAGCCAGCAACTTACTCCAGAACATAAAAATGTGGAGGTCAAGAAAAAGCTCTTTAGCAGGCTTTCCCCCAGAGTTTGCTCCTAACCAGCTCTAAGTAGCTCTATCATCCTCTAGAACAGTTCTAAAGAGCTGGAACAGATTCTTCTCTCTACCAGAAGGGGCATGTCTATCATAATAGAAAAAAATCAGTTAAGAAGGTAATTGGTTCAGTCAATCCTGTTCCTTCAGATGTGATAAATGATTCTGTAGGACCTGCCTCTGCGCAGACTCAACTTTCCCAACAGGGCTTAATACATTGTGGCTGGAGAATGGGGGTGGGAATGGGTGGGTGCCAAATCTCCTTCAGGTGGATAACTGGACTGCTCACCCAGTTGGGATAAGGCATGGATGGCTTCATCACCATCCTAAGCCTGTGAATGAACATATTTAGACTTCATATGAAATAATGACTCCAGTTCTGGGAATCATAGTTTGGGAAAGGTTTTGACAAGGTGGAACATATGCAAAGGACAATGATCAAAATTATCAAAAGTCTGGAAGCCATGCCCTATGAGAATCAGCTTAGAGACCTGGAAATGTTTAGCCTGGAGAAGAGAAGGTTAAGAGGTGACATGACAATCAAATTTATACATGTGAAAAGCTGTCTTGTTTAAGATGGAGCAGATTTGTTTTCTGCTGTGCTGGAGATTAGGACAAGGAACAATGAATTCAAATAGCAGGAAAAGAGATTCCACTTGAATATTAGAAAGACCTTCCAGGTGGTAAAAGCTGCTGGAATACATTGCTTTGAAATATAGCATAGTTGTCTTCTTTGGAGGTTTTTGAAGAGCAGTTAAATGGCCATCTGTCAGGAGTACTGTGACTGTGAATTCCTGCATAGCAGGGCATTGAACAGAATGGACTTTGCAGTAACTTCCAACTCTATGATGCTACAAAGACTGGACTTTGGGGCCAACCTTTATGAAGTATAGTTCCTTCTTTTGTGATTTTGGTAAGTTATGGAGACAAAGGGCTATAGTGGTCAACTCCATACGAAGAGGTGGAAGGCATCACACTGTCTCATATTTGAGAAGCAACCTATGTGTATATATTTATATTTCAAAGGCATCTTGTTATGTTCAGGAAGGGTTAATAGTATAACTGTGCATAGATTGGTAGTCCCTGTTGCTATTTGCCCTCAGAAGTGCAGATACTGAAAACAGTATGACTGAGACAAACGCAGCAGAAAAAAATTACAATATTGGCAATTCTCTGGCAGTATGGAAAATCATGGGATCACAGTTATCTTTTCTTCAACATAAAAAATAGCCAGTTCTGGTCCATTTTTAAAAAGCATGAATAACACACCATGCAGTTTGGCCTTTTGTGACCCAAGGTTATGCAATGTTCTTTTCTCTCTTCCTGTGTAGGTCTAACAGCTGCTCATACTTACTGGGAATATTGCAATGGTAGACATACTAGACTAGATAGAATACAGAGCAGTCTAATATAATCCCAAACCACCTAATCATTGAGTGAAAGTGGGGAGAATATGAGAAAAAGGCTGTGACAAGATAATAGCCACACACCAATTCTCTTAGAGAAACAGAGCTATACCATTGACATACGTAAAACAAATTATGATTTGAAACATGACTGCATTATTAGAGTTTCAGATCGAAAGTTCCCATTTCTTGCTCAAAGTTCAGTAGTTTACCATGGGTAAATAAAATTTCACACAAATGGTTGGTTGAACATCATAGCGGTAGCAAGTGTTTTCAGCATAGTTGATTCTCACTGCAATCATCCTCAAAACACTCAAGCTGAGCAGGCCACGGTTCTTGTTTCACCAAGATCCGACTCAATGTCATGTTTAAATCACTGAGAAAATTAGTTGCAGCTTTTTCATCCAAAGAATAAAGATATTCAGTGATCAGACGGCCCTGTCCCACATAGCCATTTCCAGGATGGTATCAATAATGCAATGTGGTCAGTTATCTTTGAGAGGTATATCAGTGAAGGAACAGCTGTGCTTTATAAAGTAAGGCAGGATTTTGAGTGAATGTCGAAGGAGATAACAGAAAAGTTACTAGCCCATGAAAAAAGGAGTTTTTCTTCCCTTAAGGATTTATGTGACACTGGTATTTTCAAATGTGGGGGGAGAGAAGAGAGAAGGGGAAGGTACATCTGGTTGCCCCCCTCCCCCAAAGCCCAACACTATTACTGTTTTGCAAAATTTCTCTTTCTGATTTAATAGAGGAGTGAGGAAGAACCTTTAAGATTACAGGATGCTGTTGAGTAAGAGGGAAGTGGATAGTTCGGAAGGATGCATAAATATTGTGTTCATAGCTCTTTTCACAGTAATTAAATATTTCTTTTCTTCAAGGGGTTTGTTGGGGAAGCATTCAAAAACACTTGTTCTCTTGGTATTCAATCCGTGTGGAATCTTTATTTACCCAGTTACACGGGAAGCACCTCATCACTTACACTTAATTCGTGTCAATTAATATATTCCATTGCGGAGCTCTAGAATTAATTTTGTTCCATTTCTAGCACAGATGTTTCCTACTCCTATCAGTAATTAGACTGTTATGCTTCTCATATCCAGCAGTCACATTTTCAACAACAGATGCCGTTTTGATTGTAATGGTAATGCTGCAAACATACTAGTCCTAAACTAGGATAAGAGGTGTCACTGTGGACCTGAATAGCTTAGTTCACTAGTATTTGGAACTTCAGCTCCTAGGTGCCCCTGCCAGACTGGCAAACTGCCACAAATTCTGACAGCTTTCCAGACTGGCTGGGGCACCAGGTCCAAAACATCCAGAGGACCAAAGGTTGGGAAACATTGGCTTAGATCAGGGGTCCTCAGACTAAGGCCTGGGGGCTGGATACAGCCCTCCAAGGGCATTTACCCGGCCCTCGCTCAGGTCAACCTATATCTGAAACAACTTGAAAGCTCACAACAACAACAACAACCCTATCTCATCAGCCAAAAACAGGCCCACACTTCCCATTGCAATACTAGTAAGTTTATATTTGTTAAAATTGTTCTTCATTTTCATTATTGTATTCTTTTAAAGTGTTTTTTTCACTGCAAATAAGATATGTGCACTGTGCATAGGGATTCATTCATTTTTTTTTTCAAATTATAATCCGTCCCTTCAACAGTTTGAGGGACTGTGATCTGGCCCTCTGTTTAAAAAGTTCGTGGACCCTGGCTTAGATGAACCCCGGTTTTGTTTTAAAACCCAGTTAGAAACTACAATAAAGGCTACCATAACACACAACTTTACACATTTTCTACTTTATACATTCTCCACTGGTTTCAGTAAGATTTATTTTCAAGTTGTGTGTTTAAGAGATATGTGTGATCAAGTTAACTCC